TGCATTTGAATGACAATTATGGGTGCCAAGAGTACATTCGTCGTTGTCTGAAAGAAAAGAGAAAATAATTGTCTAAATGCAAAAAAAGTAAATAACTCGGGAAGAGGAAGGGAAGAGGAATTACAAAAGAGCAGAAGAAGGAAAAAGAAGCATTTTAAGCAAAGCAACTCACCAGAACATGTGGCTCCACTTCCTGTAAATCCGCTGTTGCAAGCACAAGTGAATGATCCTACTGTATTGGTACATGCTGCATTTGAATGACAATTATGGGTGCCTAGAGTACATTCGTCGTTGTCTGAAAGAAAAGAGAAAATAATTGTCTAAATGCAAAAAAGTAAATAACTCGGGAAGAGGAAGGGAAGAGGAATTACAAAAGAGCAGAAGAAGGAAAAAGAAGCATTTTAAGCAAAGCAACTCACCAGAACATGTGGCTCCACTTCCTGTAAATCCGCTGTTGCAAGCACAAGTGAATGATCCTACTGTATTGGTACATGCTGCATTTGAATGACAATTATGGGTGCCTAGAGTACATTCGTCGTTGTCTGAAAGAAAAGAGAAAATAATTGTCTAAATGCAAAAAAGTAAATAACTCGGGAAGAGGAAGGGAAGAGGAATTACAAAAGAGCAGAAGAAGGAAAAAGAAGCATTTTAAGCAAAGCAACTCACCAGAACATGTGGCTCCACTTCCTGTAAATCCGCTGTTGCAAGCACAAGTGAATGATCCTACTGTATTGGTACATGCTGCATTCGAATGACAATTATGGGTGGCAAGAGTACATTCGTCGTTGTCTGAATGAAAAAAGAAAATAAGTGTATAAATGCAAAAAAGGTATAAAACTTGGAAAGAAGGAGGGAAGAGGAATTACAAAATAGCAGAGAAAGGAACAAGAAACATTTGGAGCAAAGCAACTCACCAGAACATGTGGTTCCATTTCCTGTAAATCCGCTGTTGCAAGCACAAGCAAAAGATCCTACTGTATTGGTACATGCTGCATTCGAATGACAATTATGGGTGCCAAGAGTACATTCGTCGTTGTCTGAATGAAAAAAGAAAATAATTGTCTAAATGCTAAAAAGGTATAAAACTCGGGAAGAAGAAGGAAAGAGGAATTACCAAAAGAGCAAAGAAAGGAAAAAGAAACATTTCAAGCAAAGCAACTCACCAGAACATGTGGTTCCATTTCCTGTAAATCCGCTGTTGCAAGCACAAGTGAAAGATCCTACTGTATTGGTACATGCTGCATTCGAATGACAATTATGGGTGCCAAGAGTACATTCGTCGTTGTCTGAAAGAAAAAAGAAAATAAGTGTCTAAATGCAAAAAAGGTTTAAAGCTCGGGAAGAAGAAGAGAAGAGGAATTACAAAATAGCAGAGAAAGGAAAAAGAAACATTTCAAGCAAAGCAACTCACCAGAACATGTGGTTCCATTTCCTGTAAATCCGCTGTTGCAAGCACAAGTGAAAGATCCTACTGTATTGGTACATGCTGCATTCGAATGACAATTATGGGTGCCAAGAGTACATTCGTCGTTGTCTGAAAGAAAAAAGAAAATAAGTGTCTAAATGCAAAAAAGGTTTAAAGCTCGGGAAGAAGAAGAGAAGAGGAATTACAAAATAGCAGAGAAAGGAAAAAGAAACATTTCAAGCAAAGCAACTCACCAGAACATGTGGTTCCATTTCCTGTAAATCCGCTGTTGCAAGCACAAGCAAAAGATCCTACTGTATTGGTACATGCTGCATTCGAATGACAATTATGGGTGCCAAGAGTACATTCGTCGTTGTCTGAATGAAAAAAGAAAATAATTGTCTAAATGCTAAAAAGGTATAAAACTCGGGAAGAAGAAGGAAAGATGAATTACAAAAGAGCAAAGAAAGGAAAGAGAAACATTTTAAGAAAAGCAACTCACCAGAACATGTTGTTCCACTTCCTGTAAATCCATTGTTGCAAGCACAAATGAAAGATCCTACTGTATTGGTACATAATGCATTTGAATGACAATTATGGGTGCCAAGAGTACATTCGTCGTTGTCTGAATGAAAAAAGAAAAACAAATGTCTAAATGCTAAAAAGGTTTGAAACTCGGGAAGAAGAAGAGAAGAGGAATTACAAAAGAGCAAAGAAAGGAAAGAGAAACATTTTAAGAAAAGCATCTAACCAGAACATGTGGCTCCACTTCCTGTAAATCCGCTGTTGCAAGCACAAGTGAATGATCCTACTGTGTTGGTACATAATGCATTTGAATGACAATTATGGGTGCCAAGAGTACATTCGTCGTTGTCTGAATGAAAAAAGAAAAATAAATGTCTAAATGCTAAAAAGGTATAAAACTCGGGAAGAAAAAGGAAAGAGGAATTACAAAATAGCAGAGAAAGGCAAAAGAAACATTCCAAGCAAAGCAACTCACCAGAACATGTGGTTCCATTTCCTGTAAATCCGCTGTTGCAAGCACAAGCAAAAGATCCTACTGTATTGGTACATGCTGCATTCGAATGACAATTATGGGTGCCAAGAGTACATTCGTCATTGTCTGAATGAAAAAAGAAAATAAGTGTCTAAATGCTCAAAAGGTATAAAACTCGGGAAGAAGAGGGGAAGAGGAATTACAAAAGAGCAAAGAAAGGAAAAAGAAACATTTTAAGAAAAGCAACTCACCAGAACATGTGGCTCCACTTCCTGTAAATCCACTGTTGCAAGCACAAGTGAATGATCCTACTGTGTTGGTACATAATGCATTTGAATGACAATTATGGGTGCCAAGAGTACATTCGTCGTTGTCTGAATGAAAAGAGAAAAATTATTGTCTAAATGCAAAAAAGGTATAAAACTTGGAAAGAAGAAAGGAAGAGGAATTACAAAAGAGCAAAGGAAGGAAAAGGAAACATTTGAAGCAAAGCAACTCACCAGAACATGTGGTTCCACTTCCTGTAAATCCACTGTTGCAAGCACAAGAGAAAGAGCCTTTTGTGTTGGAACATGTTGCATTTGAATGACAATTATGGCTGCCAAGAGTACATTCGTCGTTGTCTGAATGAAAAGAGAAAAATTATTGTCTAAATGCAAAAAAGGTATAAAACTTGGAAAGAAGAAAGGAAGAGGAATTACAAAAGAGCAAAGGAAGGAAAAGGAAACATTTGAAGCAAAGCAACTCACCAGAACATGTGGTTCCACTTCCTGTAAATCCACTGTTGCAAGCACAAGTGAAAGATCCTACTGTGTTGGTACATGCTGCATTTGGATGACAATTATGGGTGGCAAGAGTACATTCGTTGTTGTCTGAAAGAAAAAAGAAAAATGATTGTCTAAATGCAAAAAAGGTTTAAAACTCGGGAAGAAGAAGGGAAGAGGAATTACGAAATAGCAGAGAAAGGAAAAAGAAACATTTCAGGCAAAGCAACTCACCAGAACATGTTGTTCCATTTCCTGTAAATCCACTGTTGCAAGCACAAGAGAAGGAGCCTTCTGTGTTGGTACATGTTGCATTTGAATGACAATTATGGGTGCCAAGAGTACATTCATTGTTGTCTGAATAAAAAGAGAGAGTTCAATGTGAAGATGTTTAACAGGGATAAAGCTTGTGAAGAAGAATGGGACAAAAACATTGGAAAATAAGTAACACAGGAAAAGAGATATTTTCATTAAAGGTACTTACCAGAACATGTGGTTCCATTTCCTGTAAATCCACTGTTGCAAGCACAAGAGAAAGAGCCTTTTGTGTTGGAACATGTTGCATTTGAATGACAATTATGGGTGCCAAGAGTACATTCGTCGTTGTCTGAATGAAAAGAGAAAAATAAGTGTGTAAATGCAAAAAAGGTATATAACTCGGAAAGAAGAAGGGAAGAGGAATTACAAAAGAGCAAAGGAAGGAAAAGGAAACATTTGAAGCAAAGCAACTTACCAGAACATGTTGTTCCACTTCCTGTAAATCCATTCTTGCAAGCACAAGTGAAAGATCCTACTGTGTTGGTACATAATGCATTTGAATGACAATTATGGGTGCCAAGAGTACATTCGTCGTTGTCTGAAAGAAAAAAGAGAAATCAGGGTACAAATGCTAAATAGGGATAAAACTTGTGAAGAATAAGGGAAGAGGAATTGAAAATAAAAAAGAAGAGAACAAGGGGCATTTAAGGCAAAGCAACGTACCAGAACATGTCGTTCCATTTCCTGTAAATCCACTGTCGCAAGCACAAGAGAAGGAGCCTTCTGTGTTGGTACATGTTGCATTTGAATGACAATTATGGGTGCCAAGAGTACATTCATTGTTGTCTGAATAAAAAAAGAAAAATAATTGTCTAAATGCAATAAAGAGATGAAACTCGTGAAGAAGGGGGAAGTGGAATTGCTAAATAAAAAAGAGAAGAAAAAGAAACATTTTAAGCAAAGCAAATCACCAGAACATGTTGTTCCACTTCCTGTAAATCCACTGTTGCAAGCACAAGTGAAAGAGCCTTCTGTGTTGGTACATGTTGCATTTGAATGACAATTATGGGTGCCAAGAGTACATTCATTGTTGTCTGAATAAAAAAAGAAAAATAATTGTCTAAATGCAAAAAAGAGATGAAACTCGTGAAGAAGGGGGAAGTGGAATTGCTAAATAAAAAAGAGAAGAAAAAGAAACATTTTAAGCAAAGCAAATCACCAGAACATGTTGTTCCACTTCCTGTAAATCCACTGTTGCAAGCACAAGTGAAAGAGCCTTCTGTGTTGGTACATGTTGCATTTGATTGACAATTATGGGTGCCAAGAGTACATTCATTATTGTCTGAATAAAAAGAGAGAGTTTAATGTGAAAGTGTTTAATAAGAATAAAGCGTGTGAAGAAGAATTGGACAATAGCATTGGAAAATAAGTAACACAGGAAAAGATATATTTTGAACAAACGTATTTACCAGAACATGTGGTTCCATTTCCTGCAAATCCACTGTTGCAAGCACAAGAGAAAGAGCCTTCTGTGTTGGCACATTTTGCATTTGAGTGACAATTATGAGTTCCAAGAGTACATTCATTGTTGTCTGCATAAAAAGAGAGAGTTCAATGTGAAGATGTTTAACAGGGATAAAGCTTGTGAAGAAGAATGGGACAAAAACATTGGAAAATAAGTAACACAGGAAAAGAGATATTTTCATTAAAGGTACTTACCAGAACATGTGGTTCCATTTCCTGTAAATCCACTGTTGCAAGCACAAGAGAAAGAGCCTTTTGTGTTGGAACATGTTGCATTTGAATGACAATTATGGGTGCCAAGAGTACATTCATTGTTGTCTGAATAAAAAGAGAGAGTTGAATGTTAAGATGTTTAACAGGGATAAAGCTTGTGAAGAAGGGGGAAGTGGAATTGCTAAATAAAAAAGAGAAGAAAAAGAAACATTTTAAGCAAAGCAAATCACCAGAACATGTTGTTCCACTTCCTGTAAATCCACTGTTGCAAGCACAAGTGTAAGAGCCTTCTGTGTTGGCACATGTTGCATTTGAATGACAATTATGGGTTCCAAGTGTACATTCATTATTGTCTGAATAAAAAGAGAGAGTTTAATGTGAAAGTGTTTAATAGGGATAAAGCGTGTGAAGAAGAATTGGACAAGAGCATTGAAAATAAGTAACACAGGAAAAGATATATTTTTAAGAAAGGTATTTACCAGAACATGTGGTTCCATTTCCTGTGAATCCACTGTTGCAAGCACAAGAGAAAGAGCCTTCTGTGTTGGCACATTTTGCATTTGAGTGACAATTATGAGTTCCAAGAGAACATTCATTATTGTCTGAATAAAAAGAGAGAGTTTAATGTGAAGATGTTTAACAGGGATAAAGCTTGTGAAGAAGAATGGGACAAAAACATTGGAAAATAAGTAACACAGGAAAAGATATATTTTCATTAAAGGTACTTACCAGAACATGTGGTTCCATTTCCTGTAAATCCACTGTTGCAAGCACAAGAGAAAGAGCCTTCTGTGTTGGCACATGTTGCATTTAAGTGACAATTATGTGTGCCAAGAGTACATTCATTGTTGTCTGAATAAGAAGAGAGAGTTTAATGTGAAAGTGTTTAACAGGGATAAAGCTTGTGAAGAAGAATGGGACAAAAGAATTTGAAAATAAATAAGACAGGAAAAGAGATATTTTCATTAAAGGTACTTACCAGAACATGTGGTTCCATTTCCTGTAAATCCATTGTTGCAAGCACAAGTGAAAGATCCTACCGTGTTGGCACAAGTTGCATTTGAGTGACAATTATGGGTGCCAAGAGTACATTCATTGTTGTCTGAATAAAAAGAGAGAGTTGAATGTTAAGATATTTAACAGGGATAAAGCTTGTGAAGAAGAATGGGACAAAAACATTGGAAAATAAATAGGACAGGAAAAGAGATATTTTCATTAAAGGTACTTACCAGAACATGTGGTTCCATTTCCTGTAAATCCATTGTTGCAAGCACAAGTGAAAGATCCTACCGTGTTGGCACAAGTTGCATTTGAATGACAATTATGGGTGCCAAGAGTACATTCATTGTTGTCTGAATAAAAAGAGAGAGTTGAATGTTAAGATATTTAACAGGGATAAAGCTTGTGAAGAAGAATGGGACAAAAACATTGGAAAATAAATAGGACAGGAAAAGAGATATTTTCATTAAAGGTACTTACCAGAACATGTGGTTCCATTTCCTGTAAATCCATTGTTGCAAGCACAAGTGAAAGATCCTACCGTGTTGGCACAAGTTGCATTTGAATGACAATTATGGGTGCCAAGAGTACATTCATTGTTGTCTTTATAAAGAAAGTTAAATCCGTAAATCAATGTTGAAATGGCGTACATGTTGTGGGTAAAAGGAGAATTGAGGGGAAGTAATGGATTCAGACGATTTTATAGAACGAGAAACTAAACTAGAAACTAATTTATAAACCAGTTGCTACTTGTGAATGTACACAAAGTATCACAGTCCAATAAATGTTCTGTATCTAGCATGCCTTCTGTTTAGAAAATTCTTTTCGTGGGTGATGGCATCAAATTTTTGCAAAAACCATTTCGTAGCGAATTGAATGATTTTCGTGAGCAATGACTCCCAATGAAATACGAGATGTGCTCTTTGAAATAATAAAAACGTCGACAATTTAAGGTACAAAGTTACGTGTTTTCACAGAAAACAGTAGTTGTTTAGCTCGTTCTATTTGGCAATTGTCGTAATTACTCGAAATTAAGCTGTGGCTTTTTTTCTCAAATGAAAACTTTAGACAAGTTTTCAATCGGCTTATTTCTGAAGTGTTTTCTGAGAAAAATTGGAAAAAATACGATAAGAACTGCCACTACGTTTAAAAAAAATTGCAAGCTGATTTATAAAACCACAAATCCTATCAAATTCTAGTAGACCGACAGTTGCGAAGGTCAAAAACAACAATCAACAACAATAGGTGATTCTGCCATCGGGCAACATTTACTAGACGACCTAGATTTTGGCAAAAACTATAATGGCCACATACTTCGGCTTATATGAGAGCCCGTTCGCATTTCCATCTAGCAGTTTTAGAATCTATCCACATAAAAAAGATAAGTTGGAAATATTTTCAATAGGCAAGCAGCACTGATTCCGTTTGCCCATAGAAAATGTAAGTTGTGGTGTCAACTACAATTTCCCTTTAAACTTTCGGAACAGCTCTTTTTCATAGGTTAGCTGGCTTTGGAGCATAAATCGCAAGCAAATATGCAGTCCTCTGGTTAAAGCATATCCGCCTGTTAAAGCATCATATCATATATCTTACCTCCACATGATGTTCCAGGTCCGGTATAACCACTATTGCAAGTACAGGTGAACGAGCCTGGAGTATTTGCGCATGCAGCATTTGGATGACAGCTATGTATTCCCATAGCACACTCGTCGGTATCTGAAAACAACACATAAAAATGTTTCAATATACAACCGCCCCTAAAAGCAAGAACATGCGAAATACATTCTAACCAAAATTTTAACTATTTAGTGTCCTTGAGTATGTCATACCTGTACATGATGTTCCATTTCCGTTAAAACCACTATTGCAAGCACAGGTGAACGAGCCTGCAGTATTTGTACATGCAGCATTTGAATCACAGTTATGCGTTCCTAATTTACACTCGTTTATATCTGAAAAAGAACACATAGACGCATGTCAGTAACATCAATTGCTAGGTGCAAAGGATCATAGTACACTAAGGGTCAGTGTTGACAGTAATTGATTTCACAAAGCCCTGTATTTCGATTGCTCTCTGATCGCCTAAGACGAACCACCATAAGTGAAAACACTTCGTTTTAAGCACCTGACAGAAAGAGCATCCACGAGATGAAAAATGATACTTGATTACAAAGTCATACCTGAGCATGTTGTACCGTCTCCAGTGAAACCGTTGACGCATTGGCACATAAAAGAACCCGCTGTATTTGTACAGGATGCATTTGAATGACAGTTATGCGTATTCGTGGAGCATTCATTGATATCTAGAATAAAGAACAGACTTTTAATCAAAAGCAACTATCAAATACCGATGAAGGCACTTTATTGGAAGCATAAGCTGCTAAAATCAAACTGTGACGCAACGCTTTTCAAGTATGCGCAGGTCTACAATAAAAAAAGCCGGTGGGTGAAGAAAGGCAGGAATTGTAAAGCACCAGAAAAAAAGAGGAAAATAATTGCGAAATGAAGAAAATCCTTAATTCTGCAAGGGCAAACCCACCAAGCGCCTGTTTTCCCGCGTGGCTAACCAAATATATACTATTTGCATTACAGAAGACGAAAGCTTTATTAGTTGCTCACAGGCAGCGATAATTTTCACGCACCGGTACAAAACGTTCCGTTGCCAGAATACCCATTGTTGCAAACACACGAGGATATTCCAGAATTCGTGACGCAATATCCGTTAGCATGACATTGTAACTGTGCACATTGTGAGGCGTCTAAAAAAGAAGGTGGTAATACACATTTTCGAAACTACTAACAAGGTTTGTGATTAGGCACAAAAAAGGGGAAGAGACGGCGCCACGAAATTGAACCTGGGGGGACTAAGAATCAAGTTTACTGACATAGGAGGACCCACCATGGTTGGGTCCGACGCGAAAGAAATTTTTTGAAATTAAGCCTTCTAGAATGGCTAAAAATTCATCTTCAGGACTAAAATTTAACAAAATACCAAACCGCTCAGAATAGACAGTGCGACGGTTCTCAGAAAAACATTTGATTATTGCTTTTTAGAAAAAATTCGGGAGGGGAGGAGCCATTGGTTTAGAGTGCACATCTCGAAGATGCTGAATTGACTGAGAGAATTTTACTTCCTGAACACACATGTGCATCTTCTTTTTCTCGAGGCCATGGTTACACATTAAAAATGACATTGCAATCATAGAGGGAGTTATCTACTGAATTGATGCAAATAAAAGAGAAATAATAGAAATCTACCTCAATATATTAGTAAATAGATCAAATAAAATCAAGCAGTATATAAACACTTTGTTCTCTTTTGATTTCATACTCTTTTTTAAAAAGTAATAGAAAGAACGGTAAAAAACTTTGAACTTTGAAAAGCGGGGAGGGGGGAGGGGGCTTTAGCCTCCAGTGACGTCGTGCCTGAGGGGGTGGCAAAACAATATAATGAAAACATGGTAATATTAGGATAAAAATTGAAAAAATATATTGAGAGGTTTGAGAAAATGTAGCTCAAAAAATTGGTTACTGTAAGCAAATGCAAATAAATCGGAAATAAAATAGCTAGGAGTGAAAAATAAAAGCTTTTATAATATGTAAAAGATAGAGAACCCTTCTGAAAACATTAAGTGGTTACTTACTAGCACAATTGCTGACACCATTTCCAATGAAACCAGAATCGCAAGTGCAAATAAATGAACCAATAGTATTACTGCAGGTAGCATTTGCATGACAGGTTGAAGAATTGCTACACTCATCTACGTCTGAAATAAATAAAAAATCTTCAATTAAGAATGAAATTCTAACTCATAAGGGCACCAAAGCTATATAGATATCTGCAGGTCACGTCCAAGGACCTCAATACCCACTGTTTGTATTCGGGAAGCAACGAAACGATACATTTTTGCAAATCATTTTATCAACCTCAGAATACTGAAAAGCTCGAGAAAGTCTTGAAAAACATACCAGCACACGAGATTCCGTCCCCAGTGAACCCGCTCTTGCATGCACAAGTGAAAGACCCTTCTGTGTTTGTACAAGTTGCATTAGAGTGGCAGTTATGAGTTCCGAGTGTACATTCGTTGTTGTCTGAAAATCATTTGGTTTCATTATAACATAAAAAGGATATGAATTAGAAAGAACACTTACAAAGAGTAATTATATAGTGAGGACAAACATAAATAAAATTAATAGTTTACCAGGGCAAGATGTTCCGTTTCCTGAAAATCCACTGTTGCAAGCACATGTGAACGAGCCTTCTGTGTTGGTACAATTTGCATTTGAGTGACAATTATGGGTACCAAGTGTACATTCATTGTTGTCTAGAAAATATTTAGATTTTCTTTATCAAGAAAAGCGCTATAAATATCCAAAGATAACGAAAAAATAGATCTTCTTACATAGTTAAAGTACAGTAGAGCTAATAAAGAAATCCTACCTGAGCAGGATGTTCCATTTCCAGTAAATCCATTCTTGCAGGCACACGTGAAAGAGCCTCCAGTATTGGTACAAGTTGCATTAGAGTGACAATTATGGGTTCCAAGAGAACATTCATCATTATCTAAGAAAATATTCAATACAATCACTTTCAAATATTTATAAAAGAATCCATATGCTGCAGGACGAAATGTTTAACGTACAAAGCTATGTAATGCAGACGTGATAATCTACGTATGAATATATATATGTAAAAGAAATGACGAACCAGAACATGATGTTCCGTTCCCCACGAATCCACTGTTGCATGTACAAGTGAAAGAGCCTTCAGTGTTGGCGCACGTTGCACTTATGTGACAGTTATGTGTTCCAAGTTTACATTCGTCATTGTCTACAAAGAAATTTTTTGTGAGGGACTTCGCTGCAAAAAGAATGTGTTAAAAAAGGTTCCGAAAGAACAAGAGTTTTATTCTAGATGGAGCTAAAAATGTGTTATCACAAAAACTCACCTGAGCACATTGTTCCTTTCCCAGCAAAACCGTTTTTACAAGCACATGTGAAAGAGCCTTCAGTGTTGGTACAAGTTGCATTTGAGTGACAATTATGGACTCCGAGTGCGCATTCGTTATTGTCTGAAAAAAATTGTTTTTTGAATTATTTGAGATGTTTAACATAGAAGAGTGATTGTTATCTTTTATTAGTGAATTAAAGACATTTCACTCAAAATTAAGATACATTTAAAAAAAATGACAAACCAGAACAAGTAGTTCCATTGCCGAAGAATCCGTTTTTGCAAGCACAGGTGAATGAGCCTTCCGTGTTGGTACATGTTGCATTGGAGTGACAATTATTGGTTCCAAGTGAACATTCGTTATTGTCTAAAAAGAATTGTTTCCAGTCATATATAAAGTAGGATCTTTCTACGAAGGGGTTTATGGTTAACATCGGGTAAAGAAATTTTCAAAACTTGAGACAAATGTAATGCCTAAGTGAAGTGAATAAAATTCACTTAATGTGGTGTCAGAGGAAAACGAAATACAGACGGCAGACAACAGGATCAGGATACATTAAGGAAGATAGATCAAGCTGGTATTATTAGAAAAAGGGTGAAAAAGTTACAATGATAAAACAACATTTTCAGCATCTGTCTTGATTCTAATCTAGCTAGAAAGGATATTCAAAGGTACTTACAACAGAATATCAAGAAAAATATTAAAGTTAAGCAAATGATGTACCAGAACATGTGGTTCCACTTCCAGTAAATCCACTCTTACAAGCACAAGTGAAAGAGCCTTCTGTGTTGGTACATGTTGCATTCGAGTGACAATTATGGGTTCCGAGTGAACATTCGTCGTTGTCTAAAAAACAAAATTGGTTGAAGTTACTTGAAAAACAGGTACACAACAAACTGTGTCTTCAGATAAAAAAGCTTAGTCAGGCCTACCGTATACTCGAGTGAAAACAACAAAACACAATTATGGGTATGCATTACCAAGGTAGTGAAAACGTATACGCAATTAAAGGTATATATTTTAAGAATTGTGCATAAAGCCAAAATGTAAAAATTGTCAGCAAAAACTAATTCTTAGCAAAAACTAAATCTAACTCTTTCAAACAAATTTATACATACAAAGAAATCACATATAAGATGCAAATTAGAAGTGAAAAGTTAATCTGGCTATTCATCATTCACCCATTGCACTTAAAATCATTCACAAAGCACTCATCGACTTTTCACATTAAGTTGACACTGGAAATTGTGAGACTCAAGAGTCAAGACTATGGATTCCCGAAGGAGTTATGTCCAAAATCATTCTAATGATTGCACGTCGGCATCACTATACAAATGCTTCCTTTACAAAGATAGGTTGCACTATCAAGAAAGTTTCCCTGAAAAAGACGACCTACCAGAGCAAGCACTTCCATTCCCCACGAAACCGCTCTTGCAAGCGCAAGTGAAGGAACCGTTCAAGTTTGTGCACGTGGCGTTGGCGTGACAATTATGTGTTCCGAGTGAACATTCATCATTATCTAAAAAAGGTTTCACACATTTTATAAAGGGAAGACTCGTATAAAAACAGAAAAAAATCTCTTTTTCGATTAAGCAGAACAAATATTTTTAAAAAAATCCTACCTGAGCAGGATGTTCCGTTTCCAGTATATCCATTGTTGCAAGCACATGTAAAAGAGCCTTCTGTGTTGGTACAAGTTGCCTTTGAGTGACAGTTGTGCGTTCCAAGAGAACATTCGTTATTGTCTGGAAAAAGATACGTTTTAGAAAGAGTTTCGTTCGAAAACTAATATATAATCTAAAAAAAGAACAATCTTTAAGACAAATTAATCTAAATTGGTCTCAATCAAAAAATGAAATAAATGCAGCAAATAAAAATATACCTGCACATGCTGTTCCATTTCCAAAGAATCCGTTGTCACAAGCACACGTGAAAGACCCAGCGGTGTTGGCACATGTTGCATTTTGGTGGCAGTTGTGGGTCCCAAGCGAACACTCATTATTGTCTAAAAAAGTTTGGTTTCGTTATGAACAGAAAAGCCCGACATCTATCTTAGTCAAAATCGAAAATTTATTTACTGCCCTGAAATGGTGAGTGAAAATTCTTTAAGGAAAGCTTACCCGAACATGTTGTTCCATTTCCTGTAAATCCATTCTTGCAGAAACAAGTGAAAGAGCCTTCAGTGTTGGTACAAGTTGCATTTGAGTGACAGTTGTGGGTTCCAAAAGAACATTCATCGTTGTCTTGAAAAAGAGAAGTTGCTTCGGTTACTTACAAAGTTTTTCAATCGAAATACTCAGAGATAATCAATAAAAAGGGACAATCTTTTAAGTGCTTCTAAGGTCCAAAAATCACTAGATCTTTTTTGTTTGAAACCAATGTGAAAGTTTTCGCTGATTTCGGTGAATTAAATTATTTACGAAGATAGAATGTGAATATGCTGTTAAAAGGCTCGGAAAGTGTCAAAACACAGAATAGAAGAAAAACAAAGCATGCCTCCAGTGAAGTCAGGAGGTGCTGCTAATGTTGCTCGGGGAGCTTCAAAACACAATAGGCCTAATGAAACAGCTCGATAAAAGCCCATCTGGCTAGCGATGTGATTGAGCAAAACTAGTGTTGTATTAGGCGAAAGCAAAAATCATGGCGAGGAATGTTTAAACCTAGTACAACCAGGAAATAATAGCGCTTATTTCAATATTTTTCTAACGAGAGTTAGAAAGCTGCCGTCATAGCAAACTGTCTGCTGTGGTGATTTGATTTGGCCTAGCCACGCAGAAACGATTATGATCATGCTTAGAGCTCACAGGGGGCGAAAAGTGAATTGGACTTTATGAATTATTTTTCGCTATATATATTTAATCTAGTTTCGTTATTTAGTTGACATTGTTACTTTCGTTGATATTGTTACTAACTCAATTCGTTGAAATTGTTGTCAACTGCACCTCTACGGCCTTGTGCGTAGATCGAGCAAAATGACTCTAGAAACCCAATTACGTCACAGATTTTGTGCTTCGTTCACAGCCTGGACTAGATTTCGAACGGCAATAGCATTAAAATGAGACGCGATATAGCCATTCCGATTAAAGATTCAAATCCAGGTTGGTGAAATGTATATTCTAAATGAAAGTCATTTTATGACCTAATAAACACTTTAAGATAAGGTAATCTAGATTGGTCTCACTCAAAAAATGGAATAAATGCAGCAAATAAAAATATACCTGCACATGCCGTTCCTTTTCCAAAGAATCCGTTGTTACAAGCACACGTGAAAGACCCAGCGGTGTTGGCACATGTTGCATTTTGGTGGCAGTTGTGGGTCCCAAGCGAACACTCATTATTGTCTAAAAAAGTTTGGTTTCGTTATAAACAGAAAAGCCCGACATCTATTTTAGTCAAAATCGAAAATTTATTTACTGCCCTGAAATGGTGAGTGAAAATTCTTTAAGGAAAATTTACCCGAGCATGTTGTTCCATTTCCTGTAAACCCATTCTTGCAGAAACAAGTGAAAGAGCCTTCAGTGTTGGTACAAGTTGCATTTGAGTGACAATTGTGGGTTCCAAGAGAACATTCGTCATCGTCTGGAAAAAGATACGTTGGTTTTAGTTACTCTTAAATGATTGAGTTTGGGATGCGTACCTGTAAAAAGATGTTACATTTTAAATAACGCTTTCTAGACTGGCCTTGGTAAAGAATATTTCAATAAGAAAAGCACACCTGCGCATGATGTTCCGTTTCCAAAGAATCCATTGTTACAAGCACACGTGAAAGACCCAGCGGTGTTGTTACATGTTGCATTCGCGTGGCAGTTGTTGGTACCAAGCGAACATTCGTTGTTGTCTAGAAAAAAGATTGGTATTTTGCTCATTAGCTCGTTCGTTTCCTAAAGTTATTTTCAGGAATATTTGAAATATCAGCTGTTTTCGATGAGATTTGAATTGCGATATCAGCTGCAGAAGCAAATGAAAAAATCTTAGATTGCCGTACACCAGCAAGAAAGCTGTTTCCAAAACTGAATTGTTACCCTTTATAATAAGCTCAAGTTAAATGATATTCGTGTAAAGTTGTGAAAAAAACAGGCAGAAAAGCTAAACAGAGAACACCACCTTGCATAGATGCAAAATGTGAATTGTCACTTGAATGTTAATAAGAAACAACAGACATTAAAAAGCTTGCAAATAATGCCCAACCTTGACAAATTGTTCCATTTCCTGTGAAACCAACCCTGCAGGCACATGTATGTGAACCAACTGTGTTAGTACATTGGGCATTAGGACCGCAACTATGAGAGCCCAAGCCACATTCGTTTATATCCTGACAGTGAGTTGAATTCAATGCAAAATAGCCTGTCATACAGTTGCAATTGTAGCTCCCCAGGGTATTATTACAAATCTGCTCACAGTTGTTAGTACTGGACAATGCACATTCATTCACATCTTGGCATTTTGTTCCATTAATCAGATCGTAACCTTGTCTGCATGAACAGTTATATGAGCCAAATGTATTGTGGCAGTTTTGGTCACACAAGTTGGTACTAGATGAAGCACATTCGTCAATATCTAAAAAAGGACATAAATACAGACTTGAAAAACTTGTGTACTCAGCTCTTGAAGCACTAAAATGAGTAAAATACAGGTTCTTGCAGAACGCAAAATAAAGATTCAAGAATCAAAATTCATAGAAATTCATGATTTACTAGCTTCAAGCTGTTACCTTGGCACTGTGTGCCACTCCCTGTGAATCCTGGTTTACAAGTGCAGTTGAAGCTGCCTGCTGTATTTGTGCAAGACGCCAAATTGTGACAATTGTGCGTTCCCAGGGTGCATTCGTCAACGTCACCACAGAATGTTGCATTATGTAGCTGATAGCCGGGGTAGCATGAGCAGTTATAGCTTCCAAGGATGTTTGTACAAATCTGGTTGCAACGGCTAACATTGTGATAGCATTCATTGTAATCTGAAATATAAGCAGGTATTTTCACTTATTGACTTTAACATTTGGTACCTCTACTTAATTGCTATGGAGTTTTATGCAGGAAGCTACAAGGAACTAATGGGCGGAATTGCAAAAAGGTAGTGTTGTTGACAAAATATCTTACGAAGTCTTGTTTTTCTTCTCAAGTATTTCGTCGATAATTGCTATATATACCTCAAGAAATAACAGTTTTTACAAATATTGCTGTAAAAAAGCAAAAATGCACAAAAAAAGAAAATTTAATTTATCTACCATAGCATTTTCGACCATCACCAGTGTAACCAGTTGGGCAAGGTCCACAGTCAGCCGTCCCGTTCACGTAATTGTTTGTACAGTTGACTCCGACAAAACAAGGTTCTACCTCGCATGGAGCTAACGAAGTCTGACAAAAACCTCCGGTAACGTTGGAGGGACAAGAGCATTCACCATACGACAGTGCATTGCTGGGAGCTTCCTCGATAGAATTTTCAGTACCAAAGTCACAAGAACCACCATTCAAGCAATAACACAGCCTGATATTAGGCCCTAAAAATGCAGCGAGGTTATTTTCATCCTTTACTGTAAATTTCACTGAAAAGCTGGAGCTGTTCACAAACCACTCAACATATCCAGTGGCGCTATTTAGTGAGAGGCTGGTACCATTAGCTTCGTACGAATAAGTCAAGTTCTTGGTTCCATTGCCAGTAGCAGCCAAACTAAATTTGTAGGTCATTCCAAAAGTAACATTCAGTGAGGACGGACCAGTAAAGATAGGTGGAAAGGTTGCTAGAACGGAAAATTAAAAGAAACTTAAAATTTTGAGGGTCAAGAAGTATAACAATGGGAACCTAAATTTGAGGCAATTACCGAACAAAACCAAGAATAGAATAAGTAATTTTTAAAAGAAACTCAACAAAATTATTTAAATAAAATTTACCAAACAGAATGACAAATAAAGATTTCAAGCAAGAGTGAACTTTGATATTGACAAAACTAGTAAACACATTCTTACTTAGCCTAGATCATTGTTGGTTTTGATTTCTATATTTAAAAGTAATAGAAAAGTAGGCATCAGCATCACTTACTTAAGAAACAATAATAATAATTAAGACAATATATTCAAAATTTATACAGTATCTACCTAGAGCTTTCTTTTCAATTTCAAAATCGTTCAGAGAGGACTGACTTTCGGTTGTCGAAGTAGAGTCTTCAGTCAAAGACATATCAAAAAGGCAAGTGAAACTGGATGTTCCTCCACAAACTTCTATCGCCTTTTGTTTCAGAGCAGTGTTGTTGCCGAATAAGCTGTCTATATCGTCGAAGAACAGCGGAACAAAAGTAGGATCATAAACATCATCGGGCAGGGTAAACAAAGATCCGTTGAAGGTTACGTTCCCTGAAAGAGAAAGAATAATTATGCAAATTGCAAATATGAAAGTTTGGAAAGCATAATATTGTTAAAGAAGACATCATCAAGGCCTCATTCAGATTTTAAAAACACCAAACAAAGGTTGCTTGTCAATATTTTGACTATTTCTACCCGCAGGCAATTACGTTGGTATTCATCCGGACAAAAGAACATAAAACGCTACCCCATAGAAAGATAAACGTTTTTACTCACATTTGGTGCCAAACTCATAATAAATTTCACTTTGCGTCGAGTTGATCGGTATCGTTGTGCCATCAGGTCGGGTGAAGTCGTCATTGACATTGTTGTTGTTCACCCCAAGAAGACCACGTGTCTTGTTTATGAAAGATGACAATGAAGATATTTGAATTGTTAGAAGTCTCTCAAATATGTCTATGGTCGCTCCAACTCCAGTTTCAAATGAAACACTAAATTTGGTTACGTTTCCTGAAGTTTGCAGAACAATGTCCGTTTCATTTATGTTTCTCTCTGTGTTGAAATATGTAGAACTGTATTCTTGATTTCCAACGAAAATCCTCACTTTTGATGCTACAGAATACGAAAAGATTCATTGTTTAAACAAAGTCGGTTATTCGATATTCGTATAGCTTGCAATTATTCGAATAGAAATAATGCAAAAAAAACATTCGTATGTCACTAAATAGTTCGGTTATTCGAATAGCATGACAATTAGAAGAGGGCGAATGAGACTGATCGATTAGTCATTGGTATACCAAAGTAAAAAATTGTAAATTTTTCGAATAGTGCAGCTAATAAGTCGAATCAATCAATTTCTTTTTCAAGATCAACATACTCTCTTTTTTTATAAGAACAATTTTTATAAGAATACAAGCCTCAAAATTGGTCTAAAGTTAAGAACAAATTAAGAACAAGCTGAGGCTGAGCTACTGTAAAATGAAATTTTGAACAACTTTTTATCTCAAAAACGAGGATTTTTAGCCAAATGTGGGTGCTTTACGGTGAATATTTAAACATGGCGGCAAATGAAGGTTGTCTCACGCACTTTGTTGGAAAAAGAGGCCTGAACACCTCCCAAGAACGAAAAGCTAGAAAACGCACTGCTTATACACTATAAATTTAAGAACAAATTAAGAACAATCCAGCCTCAGGTATTCGATAAAATTAAGAACAATCAGACTGAACTCAAATTTACTGGTTCTTATAAAAAAGAGTGTACCCGCTTAGACCTACAAGTCCATCTGGTAAAAATACAATCATCGTAAAGGCTAGACTTTTTTAATTCGGGCTTGTATAAGGCGACTTCCTGTTAAATGGAATTATTTTGTCATGGTCCGAAGAGATCTGTCTGATGCGAGCTTTACAGTATTCATCATCAAATTTGGAATATTTCAGTAAATTTTCCCCGAAAGCCTCCTTTTACGGCCACACCCAGACCTTAAAACAATTAGCCAAATAACCGAATATTCGAAAACGGAGGAAAATACCTCTGGAAAACTGAAGCAAACGTTTGAAAAAAGCTACTTGACAGTATTTACAAACCCAAGGCCGAGACATGGAGTGCAATAGATTTTGTAAAAGAAAGCTACCTGGTCAATTTAGCAGTTAAGAAACGGACAAACTCGAATGGTATCAATGTACCAGTAAAAACGTATAGAGAAAAATTAAACCAAATTTCATTTAATACTCACTTGAAACATTGAGGTAGATTTCAACCAAAGGACCAGAATCGGTTTTCAAAGCAAAACCAGAAAATACCGTTGCTCTCGAAGCACTTCTTGATGAGTTCGGGGAAATGTACGCCTGACTCATTCGCGAGTGTATGACGAATTCATTACTGTTTAACAGACCAAGTAGCTGGTAATCACCAATGCCATTGAAAGTATAGGTTTTGCCATCTAGTGTCTGGATATGCGGATCTCCGCCACTCCAAGCTGTGACAATCAAGGAATCACTATTACATTTAATATATTTCCCAACAACGGCATTGCCAAATGTTTCATAGCTTACTGGGTATGCTGTGTAAATGTAAACATGATATGCTGCGTATATGTTAAAAATAGGTTATATGCAGCTACTTCAACGGTAAGGTATTGTTGGAAATATTAGCCTAAATAAATGCAGAGGTTCTGATTGGTCCAAGTTACAGCTTGAACAGTTTCGCTACAATGCTGCTGGTATTAAACATGCATCACAAACGAAAATTCTTAAAAAAAGGAAAAAGTGTGATCAAAACATACTGATGATATCAGGCGCATACAAGCGGCAATTGCGGATTGGTCTCTTTTCTTGATAGAGATGACACAAACCAGATTGTATGCAACAGTTGTCATGAGCGATCTTGTCATCGCTCTCTGCAATCTTTCTCGAGTTTCTGCGATTTTGCCAGGAATTCATCAATAACAAATAATTGTATTTTTCCGTTAGATGTGTTGTTGTCAACGGTGCGACTTCCTTCTTGTCGTAAGTATTGATAAGGGAACCGCTGATGGCATCGAAGCAGCACTGTGTGTGGAAAGATATTGCGGTGCGGAGGAAGAAGCTTGTCACTCGTTGTTTATAGCAGACAATATTGTTTGAATTGCCCTTCCACCTGAATCTTCTGTCCTGTCTACATTGATTAAGACTACATGGGCAGTCAGTTACTTCTGATCCGCTAATGACATTGATGTATCCGGGAGAGGGTTGCGCGAAATACCATGCATAGCATGCCGCTTTTCTATTGTCGATGTTGTCAGCGACCAAATAAAGACATTTTCCACGAACCCCTATGTTGCATATAGCATTATCATATCTGTAGAGAGCAGGCCCACCCGCAACATTTAGCTCAGTTTCTTTATAGAACGAGTTTTTGAAAGTGTAGCCGGCTTTTGCTCTCAGCCAATCCTCTTGCCATAACATGCCTCCATCCTCATATATGTAAGCAGCATAAGTTGTTCTACCGTCCGTTGCAACGATAAGTTGAAATGAAACGAACTGTAGTAAGAGAGAATGTCGTTTTAAAAGCAAGCAAATTTAAGTAAACAAAAATAACTTTGAAAATTAGAAAATATTTTTTTCTATGAGTTATTGAGCAGCAGTCGAGAAAAGACACTAACAAGGCAAGAAGATGCGACGGGTAGCTGTTTGATGCTGACATTAAATTTATATGATAGTTTTTTCGTGTATACGTGTTTTTCGAAATACTAAAAAATGCAGAAATGGCTATTTAGTAAATTTTCATAAAAAATAAAAAATACTTGCCACATCCTTATCAGCATATTGATAGTAACGGTATGGTTTCCCTTTTATCCAAGAAACAGCCATTATCATCGTAGGCGCGAAAGTAGAAACATTTGCATTCTCTCTAATAAAGGTTGTTGTCTTGTTGAAAAGACTCACACTGACGGCATCAGTCTGAATAGACTGGTGCACTGCATAAGAGACGTACCCTTTCTTGTCAATCGGTCTATCAGACTGGCCGCGGAAGTCAATATCAGACCAAAATGGAGCAAGGAAATTGTCACTGTTACGGAATAATAAGTCTAGAACATGGCATTTGTTTTTTGAAAAGGACACGATGCCATTGGCACAAATCTATGGGAAGAAAAAAGTAATGAGATTTGATTAATAACTCGATAATTATTATTCTAAAGCAAATATTACAAAAGGATTTAGCCTAAGAAACTCGAACTTTATTCCTAATGAAATATTAAAAGAATGACGACCTGCTTAAACAAGGAGTCAAGTTTAGTCAATATCTTTAGTATATACAATTTTGATTCCATGTTTTCGACAAAGATCTTTATTGAAGCATAACTTCGCAAATCAACTTCTGCTTTGATAAACGTGAACAACAAGTGGTGTCAAAAACACAAAAAACTTCAAATCTTAGATAATTATTTCTACTAATAGGCAAAAGGTAATATCTACTTACAAAGACAACTGTATGGAGTTTCGTCCCTAATGGTATTCCGAATGGCAAAACAAGTTTTCCTGAGCCGTCATCTGTTTCAGTGAAGCGTAAGGCAATGGAATGGGTGAAAAAACGATCCTCTGAAAAAAAATTAAAGCAAATTAAAAGTAATGAACAAGATCTACATAAATGGTAAATTTGCACTTTGATAAATTTGGTAAAAAACATTGAGAAGCAAGAGGTTCTTTGAACATAACTTCAATGTTCAATCCTCACCCTTATGCGTAGAGCCTAATGTTAATACCGTCACTCGAACTCATTTCGATTCTGCTAAGGTACTTAATGCAAGGACGCTTGAAACATGGGGGAGGCAAGGAAAGATGCGCCATTGACAGAAAACTAAATCTATAAACATTACAGTTTTTATATAAATAGTAAATGTGAGACACACTAGGCATTCCGTCAGACACAACGCAATTAAAGAAAATATCTGAGTTTGTAACCATGCCTGGTTGAAGTATGGTAGTTTTATATAGAGATTTCAAACAACATGTAGAGTCGATTGTAACATTTCGAATTAGTTTAATAGATTTGCCCATAGCGAAACGTCTTATGAGTGACAGAAAAAAGCAACCGAAAAAAAGAATGGCGACGAAACAAAGACGAAAGAAAGATACATTGACTAGCGCCTCCCTTACTTTCAAAAGTATACATGATTCAAGAAAAGAGAGACGGTTTCAAGAGCAAACTACGTCAACGATGAAAAAGCACAAGCACACATAACAGTTTTCTAGATCTCCAGTCATACTGTTTCCAGGATGTCTCACACTTACATACCCACACAGCGCTATTACAGAAAGCTCCTTTATGCGAGAAAAGGAGGACACCGAGGTCAACGTGACTTAGTTCAATGCCAACATTCCCAGAGAATGCCAAGATCCTTACTTAATAAAGGCCAAGCAACTATCTCGGGCAAATAATTACTGTGATACAAGAGGAGTTGTTTGCATTAAATGTACAGTGGCATGCGCAATATTCCAGTAAGATCGAATTATTCAATTACTGCTTACAAGTTAACAATTACAGAAAAAGGAAAGCAAATGTCCATTACATTTATCCAATGTGGTGAAACAAACTTTGGATAAGATAGTCATTGTAAACATAGATAAATTTTCAAGCAAAATTTCCACGATCGTTTCAAAGAATGCACTGAGCTCGGCAAATCATGTTAACAGCAACATGCCAGCAAGTAAACATGAAGGAAGTTGAAAATGGCTATGCAGCTATCATGTATTTTCAAAGTCTTCAGCATTGGCCTAACGATATTCAGTACCATGCAAAATCGCGGATGCAAGAAAAGCTAGGAAAATGTACCAAAACAAAGAGAAGTTTGCTAAATTTTTAGAGAATTTTGAATTTGACACACGCAAAGTAGCAACAAAAGCTTCTAATCACAAAATCTTAATGCTTTAAGGGCATATAAAGCAATTCATATATCGCTTAAGTTAAAACGGTTGAAATACATTATAAAATATGAAATGAAATCGCAAATACATCAAAAACTTCCGAAGCATTTATATTTTTTCACAAAATGTCTGATAGAAAGGCTAGTGTAAAGGGACAAATTTTAATAACTTTTAAAATTTGACGAAAACCCATTGAACAACAAAATAAAAAATCTGGTTTTGCGCAAAACACTTCAAGAAGCTGCCAAGTGTACAATTAATTAAAAAACATAAATGTAAACCATCAATAGTAAAAGGAGTTTAGTGAAATTTAGAGTATCCTCATAACAAAAAAGCAATGTCTACCCTTATCTTGTCTAGGTTTCTACGAGCTTACAACTGTAAGAAGAAGCATAATACTGCAGAAACCTTTGCATAGTTTGCCATCACCAATGTATCCAGCATTACAGGTGCAATTAAATGATCCTTGAGTATTTGAGCATCCCGCATTAACATGACAGTCATGTATACCAGTTGCACATTCGTCGATATCTAAACACATACACAGAGAAATACTTATTCCAAAACAATAAAAAAAATCAAAAAGATGACTACTATGATAAATTTACGTCTTCAGTAGAAATCCGACAGTAGAAAATTTAAATGTATTGACAATGGAAATCATTAAAACCTAAATAATAAACAAAAGATACAATATATATAACTGTTACTTACATTAAGAAAACATTTGAAAAAATGAAAAACTTCTCGTAGAACAAAAAACCTGTAAATGATCTACAGTTCTTAGCAGGAAAAAAAATCGTGGTACAGCACCATAAAGAGAGATATTAGCTCCAGAAAGTTAAAAATACTGTATAAACTAAAGAACGCTTAAAGGTTTGCTAAAAGGGCCAAAAATCGGATAGCATTACAGCTATGTTTGATCATAATTAGATCTCAAATACGAAACAAAAGAGGAAAATTACATAATAACCCGCAACTAAAACACAAACATGATTACCATTGGCAAAAAACATCTAAACTAACAAATATTATCGACAATAAAAGAAAACAACCTTGAATGTTTTAAAAAAAAACTAGAAAAGCAAGAAACGGGTTAACGGGTTAAAGCCACAGTTAGGAAGACATACCTGTACAAGATGTACCAACTCCGGTATAACCAACATTGCAAGCACAGGTGAATGAGCCTGCAGTATTTGTGCATGCAGCATTTGAATCACAATTATGCGTTCCTAATGTACATTCGTCTTGATCTAGAAGCAACAAAGAGATATGTATTAACAAATGGAAAGAAACAAGCCATAAAACCTAGAAAAGAACAGCCACAAGTTATCCGATACATTTAATCAAAAGCCATTGGATAACTACGTAGAATTATAGATTATTTAATGAAACATCAACTTAAAAGCCACAGTTAGGAAGACATACCGGTACAAGCTGTACCAGCTCCGGTATAACCAACATTGCAAGCACAGGTGAATGAGCCTGCAGTATTTGTGCATGCAGCATTTGCATGACAGTTATGCGTTCCTAATGTACATTCGTCTTGATCTAGAAGCAAAAAAGAAGGTATCATCAATCAAAATGCAAAAATCTTTAAAAAAAGTCACAATAGAACACACACAAATTATCTGCAAAGATTAATTAAAAAAGACGCTAATATCTATATCTCACATTAAATTATTTTAAGAACCAGCAACTTAAGAGCAGCAGTTAGGATAACATACCTGTACATGATGTACCAACTCCGGTATAACCAACATTGCAAGCACAAGTGAATGAGCCTGCAGTATTTGTGCATGCAGCATTTGAATCACAGTTATGCGTTCCTAAAGTACATTCGTCTTGATCTAGAAGTAACAAAGAGACATGAATTAACAAATGAAAAGAAACAAGCCATCACACCTACAAAAGAACAGCCACAAATTATCCGTTACATTTAATCAAAAGCCATTGGATAACTTCGTAGAATTAAAGATTCTTTTATGAAGCATCAACTTAAAAGCCACAGTTAGGAAGACATACCTGTACAAGATATACCAACTCCGGTATAACCAACATTGCAAGCACAGGTGAATGAGCCTGCAGTATTTGTGCATGCAGCATTTGAATCACAGTTATGCGTTCCTAATGTACATTCGTCTTGATCTAGAAGCAAAAAAGAAGGTATCATCAATCAAAATGCAAAAATCTTTAAAAAAGTCACAATAGAACACACACAAATTATCTGCAAAGATTAATTAAAAAAGACGCTAATATCTATATCTCACATTAAATTATTTTAAGAACCAGCAACTTAAGAGCAGCAGTTAGGATAACATACCTGTACATGATGTACCAACTCCGGTATAACCAACATTGCAAGCACAAGTGAATGAGCCTGCAGTATTTGTGCATGCAGCATTTGAATCACAGTTATGCGTTCCTAAAGTACATTCGTCTTGATCTAGAAGGAACAAAGAGACATGAATTAACAAATGAAAAGAAACAAGCCATCACACCTACAAAAGAACAGCCACAAATTATCCGTTACATTTAATCAAAAGCCATTGGATAACTACGTAGAATTAAAGATTCTTTTATGAAGCATCAACTTAAAAGCCACAGTTAGGAAGACATACCTGTACAAGATGTACCAACTCCGGTATAACCAACATTGCAAGCACAGGTGAATGAGCCTGCTGTATTTGTGCATGCAGCATTTGAATCACAGTTATGCGTTCCTAATGTACATTCGTCTTGATCTAGAAACAACAAAGAGACATGAATTAACAAATGAAAAGAAACAAGCCATCACACCTACAAAAGAACAGCCACAAATTATCCGTTACATTTAATCAAAAGCCATTGGATAACTACGTAGAATTAAAAATTCTTTTATGAAGCATCAACTTAAAAGCCACAGTTAGGAAGACATACCTGTACAAGATGTACCAACTCCGGTATAACCAACATTGCAAGCACAGGTGAATGAGCCTGCAGTATTTGTGCATGCAGCATTTGAATCACAGTTATGCGTTCCTAATGTACATTCGTCTTGATCTAGAAGCAAAAAAGAAGGTATCATCAATCAAAATGCAAAAATCTTTAAAAAAAGTCACAATAGAACACACACAAATTATCTGCAAAGATTAATTAAAAAAGACGCTAATATCTATATCTCACATTAAATTATTTTAAGAACCAGCAACTTAAGAGCAGCAGTTAGGATAACATACCTGTACATGATGTACCAACTCCGGTATAACCAACATTGCAAGCACAAGTGAATGAGCCTGCAGTATTTGTGCATGCAGCATTTGAATCACAGTTATGCGTTCCTAAAGTACATTCGTCTTGATCTAGAAGTAACAAAGAGACATGAATTAACAAATGAAAAGAAACAAGCCATCACACCTACAAAAGAACAGCCACAAATTATCCGTTACATTTAATCAAAAGCCATTGGATAACTTCGTAGAATTAAAGATTCTTTTATGAAGCATCAACTTAAAAGCCACAGTTAGGAAGACATACCTGTACAAGATGTACCAACTCCGGTATAACCAACATTGCAAGCACAGGTGAATGAGCCTGCAGTATTTGTGCATGCAGCATTTGAATCACAGTTATGCGTTCCTAATGTACATTCGTCTTGATCTAGAAGCAAAAAAGAAGGTATCATCAATCAAAATGCAAAAATCTTTAAAAAAAGTCACAATAGAACACACACAAATTATCTGCAAAGATTAATTAAAAAAGACGCTAATATCTATATCTCACATTAAATTATTTTAAGAACCAGCAACTTAAGAGCAGCAGTTAGGATAACATACCTGTACATGATGTACCAACTCCGGTATAACCAACATTGCAAGCACAAGTGAATGAGCCTGCAGTATTTGTGCATGCAGCATTTGAATCACAGTTATGCGTTCCTAAAGTACATTCGTCTTGATCTAGAAGGAACAAAGAGACATGAATTAACAAATGAAAAGAAACAAGCCATCACACCTACAAAAGAACAGCCACAAATTATCCGTTACATTTAATCAAAAGCCATTGGATAACTACGTAGAATTAAAGATTCTTTTATGAAGCATCAACTTAAAAGCCACAGTTAGGAAGACATACCTGTACAAGATGTACCAACTCCGGTATAACCAACATTGCAAGCACAGGTGAATGAGCCTGCAGTATTTGTGCATGCAGCATTTGAATCACAGTTATGCGTTCCTAATGTACATTCGTCTTGATCTAGACTTAGCAATCAAGAAACAGAATTAAGGCCCCCCATATGGATTGGGAAGAGGAAGGGACCCAAACCATCAAACCTACACATAAAACAGCCAGAAATTATCCCGTCTTACATTTAATTCAAAATGCCAGTTGATAACTACGTAAATTAAGTATTCTATATATATGAACGCCTATCAAACTTAAGCCACAAGTTATTGTGAGAGAGAGAACTACCCTACGCTTGTGTTACGCAATATACAACTCCGGGGTATAAACCAACATCGTGTGCACACCCACGAGGGTTGAATGAGCCTGCCAGCTATATTTGGTGCATGCTACATTCCCAGCGAGTGTGTATGACAGTTATGCGTTCACCTTAATGATACATTTCTCTTGATACTGAACGCAAAAACGAAGGTATGCATCAGATCCAAAATGCCTACCTAATCTTTTAAAAAAAAAGTCACAATAGAACCCACACACCAGTCAACGTGATAGAACTATAATGATTGACCTTGCACCATAAAGACCGGCCTAAGCCCGTATCTACATGCGTGCAGAGTAGAAGTAAGATATGTTTTAAACACCTTTAGCAGACATATAGAGCAGCATGTATTACGCTTTATTTGGGATAACATATACCGTTATCATCATGAGTGTGCGCGACACTCCTACAGGGTTTGTATATACCGAGAGCATTGGCAAGCGCAAGGGAGAGGTGGTTGCGCGCGTGCGTATCTAGTAAGCTCCTTGGTCCGCGACCCTGCAGATACTGAATGTACGTACTGTAATAATACTAGTAGTACTGATTCGTCTTGATCTTAGATAGTTGAGATCTAAAAGTAGGGCTGGGGGGTATGATATTTGTGTAGGATCGCGATTAATGAAGAGAGCCAGTAAACAAGCCCACACCTACAGTTGAGAGAATGAGCAGCAAATAGTATCCGGTTATCGATTGGGATTATCAAAAAGCGCGATCTGCTGATACTTACTGTAGAATTCCGTATACCAAAATCGATATCATTTGATTCGAGCATTCAACCTTAAAGCACTCCATCAGTTATGAGTAAAATCTACTGGGCGTGGTACAAGAGTGTACGTGATGTACCCAAGCTCGCAGGGTTCGGCTTACATGAAACCAACATTGGCAAGCACAGCTGTGAATGAGCTGCCAGTATTTGTGCATGCACCATTCTGCAATCACAGTTATCGTTGGCCTAACTGAGACATTCTGTGAGTCTATTTAAACCACAACAGAGAGTTATGGTTACTGAACCAATGAAAAAGGATTCAGAGCGGGCAATAAAACTTAAAAAGTAACTAACCACAAATTATCCGTTACATTTAATCAAAAATGCCATTGCATAAACTACGTAGAACTGAAAGCTTCTTTATGAAGCCATCAACTTACAAAGCCACAAGAGTGCGGCCAAGCACACTACCGTGTACAAGTGTACCAAGCTCCGGATAACCAACGATTGCAAAGCACAGCTGAATGATGCTGCAGATTGTTGCACTGCCAGCATGTGCATGACAGTATGCGTTACCTAAGACATTTCGTCTTATTCTAGAAGCAAAAAAGATGTTGGTTACTCATCAAGTTGTGCCAAAGATGCAACAACCTTCTCTCTGTGTTGTC